CGAGTGACTGGTTTGGTTTGTCTTTGCCACAATTTGTCAAATTTACAAATATCATCAAGTACTTATCTGTTCAAGATTTGTTTCCTGCTGTGTCTGGTGAAAACCTTCTGCTCATTGAGGACATTGGTATTGATGTGGTCACACCCCAGAAAGCCTGGTAAGTCCGGATGACACAGGTTGAAATGCTCTTGCTGGTGAAGGTTGAATAACAAAAATTGCCCTGTCCTCCGTTGTAATATTTTTAATCGCATTCAAGTTTATTTGGCAAGGGTGCTACATACATTTTCCCTGCCACATTCATTTGGACCGCCTTTCTGATTATGTCCTTTGCATCGAAAGCCCTGATGAAATGTTGTTTTTTTACAAGCTTGATATACCGCTCCTGGATTCTGTTTGATGATGACAGCGGCTTCAACAGTTTTGCGAGAACAACTATGTTTTGCAGACAATTGCAGAACCCAACATGTTCACAGTCTTTCCATGCCACAAGACAGTTAATCTCCCATAATGTGCCGGTTTTCTCTTGGAATGTAGTATTGATGGATTTTGTTGCCCTACTGTAGCTTGTGGAATGATACATAGTGTTATTCACAATGAACCTGTTGTAAAGCTGAACTCTCTTTCTGCCTACCATTTTACCGAGGTGAGTTTCAATTGCTAATTGCTCAGATGGCCTAAGCTCCCTGTACTTCGCCACACCACAGACAACAACATCCTTTGTAATGTGCACATGACCTTTAGGGAACTTTTTATTTGTAGTAAGCTTTGAAAACATCATTTCAACTGAGTGCGATGCCCCTAGCATTGTTTTCTTTGATTCTGCATCCCTTAAAATCTGTTTCAACACACACACAATGATCATATATTGCTGGGGAACATACTGGGTACCTTTGTAAAACTTCAAGAGAACACCATTTTGTGCTTCAAACACAAAGCCGGATGTTGCCCACAGCGGTTCCCATTTCGCACACAACCAGGTAGTTGTTCCAATTGATGTACGTTGAAGGTCATGTGTTCTAGACCATAAAGCACTACTGCCTTTCTAGTAAACTGCTGGATTTGTGCCTCAGCCCTATCTATTTCTTCATGGTTAATGTTATCTTGCAGAAGGCTGTGCATGGCAGCAACAAGCAGGATCCCAGTGCCGTTTGTACTGTGTAGGCAGTACCCCTTCAAGAATGACACTTGAATAATACAGTAGAAAAGATCTCCATTCATTGGCCTTGTAACATTTCCGCATCCGCGATGATCGTGGGCGTCTAGTTATTTCAGATGGTGGACAGATGTGTATGTAGTATAACATTTAAAATAACAGTTACATACAGTCATTTATTTTGATTGATTTGTATTTTTAACCGCTTTTAACGGGTAAATAATTTCATCTACGTTTACTAGTTCAATAATTAAGCTTTAAACTTTTTTCCCCAGATGAGAGGAAAAGACTTGTCAATAAACGAGAGCAGTACATATCAACTGGCACACTGAACCGCACATTAGAGACGGGGAAAGGGGGAAATAATAATAATAATAATAATAATAATAATAATAATAATAATAATAATAATAGGAATTATAATTATAATAATAAATGATACTTCTTTACATAATACTGTAATGTACTTTTCATTACCAAGTTCACACTAAGAGTAGGACACATGGATTAAAAAATATGTTAATTCTTTGTAAAGGAAGTAGCAGAAGAGACTGAGAAAAACAAGAAAAGGTCTGTGACCAAGTCGGCGAACCAGCTCCGAGAAATCCTGCAATCGAAGTCACAGGTAATAAATGCTATAATAATTTTAAATTTCAAAAAATAAGCTATTAACTTTTGTTTATATTATATTATATATATATATATATATATATATATTTTTTTTTAACTTTATAAGTATTAAAGGTCTCTTTGCGCTGCAAATAAGTATTAAAGGTCTCTTAGCGCTGCAAATAAAATAAGTAGCACATTCTTGTGACAGATTTTATTTATGTTGGGTAACCTGTACACTTGGTTTTTATCTGGATGTTGCGTTTGATCGTCAAAAGACTGTAAAAATAATATAACAATAATTAAATCAATAAATCATATTCATTTTTTATATGGTAATGGTAATAAAACAACGTTTAATGAGTGTATGCATGACTCAGTATAGTGCTTACCACATTATTACAATTTTTTTTGTTTTGTTTTAGGACACTGCACTCCTTGCAGAGAATCTGCAGTTAAAGGAAAAGATAAAGACATTAGAGAAACTTGCAGAGCGCCTAACGCAAACAATATCGTGCATGGTCCGTAAGTGCTTTATGTATTTTGGATTCGGTACATTACTCTTTACATACTTGTCTGCTGGGCCGGGTCTTGAATCTGCCCTAGAATACAAGAGACAGGCCAAACACTCAGCTCTGTATGTGTGCATGTGTCTACTGTATTATTTCTATTTTAAAATACATATAGCTATGTATTAAATAATAAAAAATAGCCCCATGTTTGTTTGGTTTTTTTTATAGCAATGTGCAGTACCATTTAGTATAATCGGCCTGCTGCAAAATGTAACTGTACTTTGGATCACATGTTCAAGCCTACCACACTCTACCTGTAATATTTTAAGCTCTTTATTACAATGATTTAAATGCTAACGTTTTCCTCAAATTATTTAAAATTTCCAGATCTGCCGAAGCTTCTTGAAAGGATGAAGCAGGCCCCTCAAGCACAGGCCCCTCAAGCACAGGTGTCTACCGAACAGCAGAATGACGGATCCTCCACTGACGAAGTACGTAACAACAGCCTTACATTTTTTGTGTTGATATTTGTATACTTATTAATTTTCATCCCAAACCCCAGAGGAAAATTGCCAATTATAAATGATTGATTAAGTAGAAATGTGGTAAAATATGATTTAATTTTTCGTCGTGCCTAGTATGATACAAAATTATTTGTATATCTAAAATTTAAAAATATTTATTTTTTAAGGCCCATTTATTTTGTTACACAAGAAATGTATCTATCTAATAAATATCTATAAATATATATATAAATAGTGTTTTTTTAAATAAATAAAGCTAATAAATACAGACATGATCTATTCCTTGGTTTGTTTATGTTTTTAGTTCTGACAATTGCAATACTACGTGCAATAAGACGAAAACAGTATCAGTACAACTAACAATTGAAAACTACCAGCTAGCAATAGCAACAGCATTTGTATAAGACTTTTTCGACAGCTACATCATTCTTAGAGGATATCAGCCGCACACCTCTACAATTTCCTTAGAAAATCTATAGGATCTCACAAGATAATTCTTATAGGATTCTCACATATTTTGTAAAAATATATGATAGCCGTATACGATTTTTATAAGATATCTATAGGATTCCTAAATAATTCATATCAGATCCTATAAGATAATTTATATAAGAGTCTTATAAGATTCTTTTAAAAACAATATGAAATTCCTGTAGCAAACATATCTAATTTCTATAAAACACCTATAGGATTCATATGATAGCCCTATGCGATGCTTATAAGCTATCTATAAGATTCCTATATAATTCACATACGACCCTATAAGATTCCTTTAGGAAATACATAAATATTCTATTGGATCCTATTGGATAACATCCTATAGGAATCTTATAGATTTTTCGTCACATCTTATAGGATCCTATAGGACTATTTGAATAGATGTGCTTTAGGAATCCTATAGGATTCTTATATAATTCATGTTAGACTCTTATAAGATTCTTATATAATTTATATAAGACATCTATAGGATTCCTATAGAAAATTTATAAGATTTCTGTAGGAAACATACCCGACCTCTATAAGATACCTATATGAATCCTTATGTTTCATATGAGAAACCTATACGAATCTTATAAGATACCGATAGGATTCCTTTACAATTCATATAAGATTCTTTTACAAAATCTATACGACTCCCATAAGATTCTTATATAATTCATATAAAACTCTTATAAGATTCCTGTAGAAAATATATAGGACTCTTATAAGA